TACTTCACATTCTGTAATTGTCCCAAATTTTTCAAAGTAGTTGTGAAACTCACTGTCTGTCAAACATGGATTCAAATCTCTAACAACAATCCCATGGTCCTAAGAAAGGTAGACAAGACATAAATCAAATCACATACAAATCCTATCCATCCATTCATTCTCCAAATCTCTTGTGGTATGTCTGGCGTCACAGGGATTCTGGAGCCTATCTCAGCGTCTCAGGCAAAACCTCAAACTCAGTCTGTGCCTAAAACAGATTGAAAGCCAGTGGCAATTAAAGGCACTGTAAGTGACTGTTTATGAAATGCCACTCAGATAATATTACCTGACAAGCAGCACTGATTTTGCTGTCCTAAATGATCAAACTTGTCTAAAGCTTCTAGCAACGGGATTGTGGTTTGTTTCTTTGATAAGCCAATCCGATGACTTTGAGCCTCTTTCTACCTGTCAGTCATTTTGCACATTCAAGCTGTGATATATTTTGTTTTATTCTATTATGATGGAATATTTATACCCAGTTTTCTTCTGTTGATTTAATTTTATAACTAACAGCCATTCGAATTTAGAATTTATTAGAAACAATTAGTAATATTTATGTATTTGGTATTAAATGACCCTGAAAAATTAATTCCTGCATGGCAGGAAAGTTAATTTCCGACATTGTAACAGTGCAACAATTAGTCAGCTTACCCATTCACCAGATATTAGAAATTCTTCATATTCATCTGGTATGTGGATGTATAAACGTCGTGAGGACTCCATTGTTGAATAAACTCTACATTGAAAAAAAAAAATGGCAGGATTTACTATGAAACAATTTTCACTAGTAAATTTCACAAACAATTACAAAGAGACAAGATACACGTTGAATTAAATGTGAAATTTTAAAGTATAAAGACTGAAATAAATTTCATTTTATAATAACAATTATAATTTTTACAGGGCCTATACAGAATGAGTAGAATATACAATGACTGGACCAGCCATTCTAGGATTACAAAGAACCATAAGACAAGCAATTATACAAAACCAACAGAATTAAACAGTTCATTTAATGATTAACAGATGTAGAATATGTAAAAAAAAAAAAAAAAAAAAAAGGCTAAACTACAAGAGGAAAAGAAACTGCAGTGCGCATACCTTCTTCAGGTGACTGAATGACTGTTGCAGTTGATGTGATGTGATGTTGGGAGCCAAATGAGCCAAAGTAGCTCCTTACAGCTCCTTTATAAGGAGGATGTCAGACAGATAAAAGAAACTCCTCCCACAGAATGCAGAACATCATGGGATTCTGAGCTCTGGTCAGCAGCATGTGACCACAAATCTTCAGATTTCAGTCTGACAGGTTCAGATAAAATCTGTAGCCCCACATACCACATATTGTGCATTACAATGTCCTATTAAAGGACCTTAGCAGTCTTTGTCCAATGGAACTAGCCCTACACCAATACAAATACGGAGTTATGTTCAGTCAGCTGATCTCTATCACAAAATTGATTTAACAATCATTCAAAAGACATCAGCACTGTGGAAAGATTATACAGTATAAAAAAAGACATGATCATGGAATGCTGCATTTGACAAACCAGACAGGTATTTCACAGAGTTGTGTGTGATCAACAATAGCAATTAAAAATAACAGCAGTTATTCACAAATAATTGCCTTTTACAGATTGTCACGATTGGTTGTTGTGAGTAAAGTGCACGACAAAGGAGAATTAACAATAACAGTCTTTAATAGATCAATCCACAGGAACACAACAGGAGACTCACAAAGTGTAGACAAGAACGGACAAATACTGAAGGAGAACATAGGGTTTATAAGCAGGAACCAAACAAAGGGAAACTAATGAGATAATCAGACAACAGGTGAACTGAATGACTAATTAAGCAGACTGGGGGAAAACTAGGTCAAACCACACAGAGCATGCATGTAACACGGATATGTTGTATTTATTGATTGATTTCAATTGATCAAACCACAGCAGCAGACAGATAAACTGAAGTCAATCTCATCATTAACATGTCGCAAGAAACACTATACAACTGCACTACACAACTCTTCTCTAAATATTTAAAATTATCATCACATCCTCAAGCATACAAAAATACAGCTTTTTAGCAGTCCCACAAAGAACTGACAGACAAAACATTTCCATAAGCAAAAATGTCAAAAAATTGTATATGACTAAATGGACAATAACACTACTAAATATCAGTGTCATTTGTCTCCAAAAAAAAGCAGCTGTTGTCCGAGTTCTGTATAAGATGCATCGGTTTCTCAGGTATTTTTGAAGGGGTTACCACAATGCATTCTTCCAAATTCATTTCTGTAGAATTCAGCCTTCCTGGATAAAACAAGTAATCAGCAGGTGGAAACACAGCCCTGTTCACAAGAAGGAAATCAACCACTGCAAGTTGAAAGGTGTGGAATTTGTCTTCATCTGTCAAACATGAATTTATCTGAACATCAAACATCCCGAATGCACAAAAGAAAGTAAAGTGAGTATTTCTAGATACAATGACAGACTGAAAGCTCACCTTACTGCTGAGCACCTGCCTCATTGAGGGCCTGCAGTTTAGCTATAAGGAACTTCTTATCTTCACCCTCCTAAGAAGCCAGATGAGATGATACCAAGAAATCAACAGGCTGTCAAAACCAGATACTGTAATTTGTCATGCTTATGAAGGCATTAATGATCCCAAACCATGCGTGACACCTCAAATCACACGGCTCGTTGAGAAGAGTGTGTCCTCGTAAACCAAATGGCTTAAAAACATACTAAAAAGTGTTTTTTGAAATTCAAAAACTGCCAAAGGCTTTCTGTTAGGGGATAGAAAATTGGATATGTTCAGAATAAAAACCATTACGCCTATGGAGAGTCCCCATGAACCACATATGTGGGTAGGTTGGTGTGTGTGTGTCTGTGTCACTTTTTCTGCAGAGATGTCAAATCTAGTTGGGATGCTATTCTTGCTGAATCAATATCATTATGTTTATTATATGGGCAAAACAATATTTTCACTATGCCTACATTCTACGTCATTTGCTGGAACGCCACTCTCTCGTGAACTTAGTGGAAGCTAGATATTATAGAGTTTATAAATTTGTATATATTATGGATATTTTTCTAACACAAATGCATCACTTCGCTTCAGGGAGCCTATATTAACTCCCCGGAGCCGTGTGGAGTAGTTTTTATGATGGATAGATGCGCTTTTTGGGTTTCAAAATGTCAACCACCATTCACTGCTATTATAAAGCTTGGAGGAGCCAAGACATTTTTTAATATACCTCCGATTGCATTCGTCTAAAAGAGGAAAGTCATATACGAGGATGAGTAAATCATGGGGTAATTTTCATTTTTGGATGAACTATCGCTTTAAGTTCACACTTAAGTACATTCTTTTAAAGTAATATGCAGAGACCACGTGCCCCCTCAGATTTTTGAGTCAAGTGGATTTTGAATGCAGCTTCCAAAAGACAAAAAATAGCCAAATAATATTATCAGCTTCATATTATCAGCTACTAAATTCAAATCTGCGTTCGCTGGCTGGCGCTGAACCAGAGGCAGACGCGTTTGTACAGCGCTGCATTATAACCAATCACACACGATAATGTTGAGCTTATGAATATGAATGCAATGGCCAATCAGAGGTGTTCCAATGAGTCATCGCTAAAATGTTTGTGTTTTGTTCACTCGCTCGCTGACTGAATACCTCTTTCTGGCGAATTCTCTCATTAGAAACAACAAAGTGCAGATGTATAAATAAGTGAGATATTAATTTCACAGTGTAAACAGCTTCAGTGATTTTAATGGGAGTTTTTGAGAGTGCTTGAACTCTAGGCTGTCAGTGAAAATGTTCTTTGATAATGTAAATGTTCTTTGCTCTCTTTCTGTACAATGAAAGTGTTATGATAAGTAGCCTAACTTACAATGTTTTTATTTATATGTTATGGCATGACACCCATATCTGTTACTTTAGTAAACAGACATATTTTTATCATAGGCAGAGCGTGTGTAAGCCTTCCCCTGGCCACGGGGACTTGGGGCAAAAATGCCACTAAATTGGACAAAAATGCCCCTGCACAAACAAATTAAATCTATTATGTCTGTTGCTAACTAAGTGAATATGAATAGATAGTGTCGATTGTGGCATTAAATCAAGATCTGCACCGTATTTCATTTTAGGCGTTTTTACAGTGTTGCGCATTTTAACCAATCACACACAAATCTGTTGAGCTTAGGAATGCAATGGCCAATCAGAAGCGTTCAGATGAGTCACCGTTCAAACTCATCAGTTTTGTTGAGTGCGCGCGCGTTCGCTTACTGAAGTTTGAGAGTGCTTAAACTCGCGATAGATCCATTTTAGTGATAATGTCACTTTATATATATAATTTATTCACTGTTTGAATAACAGTGGAAAGGAAACGTTATATAATTATCAATTTCTAACGTTTTTATTCAGTTGTAATCACGTTAAATACACATTCAGTCCCATTAAAAAATGTTTAGCCTACATGACACCAATGCCTGGTTCTTGCCTAAAAAGACGGGTTTATGATGTTTAATACATTTGGCTGCTTTTAGCCTTACCCTGGATTTGGTTCACCCTCCGTCTATGGTTTTATGCATAGTTAATAGAATACATTATTAGGCAGCTTTGACCATCATCCACTATTAATCAACTAACATAGGTGAGAATCGAGATATTTCATGATATAGTTAATGCGTTTGGGAATGTTTTGAATAAAAAATACATAAATAAAACATAAGAGCTGTGGCTGCTGTGTGTCTGTCTAAATATGGTAGCATACTTTTCCACAAGACTCACAATACTCACATTGTCTATTTGTTCTTGTAACTTAGCAATGATCATCTTTTGGCCATCCAAAACTTGCATGTGAATGTATATAATGGCGCTGGAAAAAGACAGAGATGACTGTTAAAATGACCCATGTCCATACTGCACCCAACATTCCCATGAGCAAGGAGTACTCACAGGAACAGGCCTGCAGTGATGAAGAGGAACAAAGGGTTGTCCACCAGGTTATTATAAGCCCAGCTGAGCCACAACATACTGGGATTCGACTTGCCCAGGTCCCTGATCCACGTCTTGCCTAAGAGAAGCATGCTGCGGAGGTTACTGAAGGGCCCACAATCTGATGAGGGCTTGACCCTAAAAAAAACACACTTGCACTTTAATGACTTTACATAATTTGCTTTGTCAAGACAAACAATGAGTGTGTGTGCATGTGAAATTTCCTATGGAGGACCACCTGCTGAAACATGTTTTGTGCTCCACTCAAAAAAAATAACAATTTGGAACAATATGAGAATAATTTTTGAGACAGCTATCTCTTTAACTATCCCATCAAATGGACTTTTTTGTACTAGTATTATAGACCACCTTGTAGAGAGGAAGCTCTGGGGTGTGTGTTAATACATTATTTATTTCTGATTTTGCCAGATTTGGTCCTCCGTCGGCAGTATTCTGGAGAATGTGAATGTATATGAAGAGACAAACCTCCACATTGTATAAATGACACATGCAAGGGCCCCAGTGAAGGAGGGGAGAAACAGGAGTTTAATGAAGAATGTGCTCATCTGAGTGGCCCTCCAGTGTTTCCTGGGTGGTTGAAAGTTCATCATCAAACTCGTCTGTAAAGGGGGTGACAAACATATGTAGGTAATTGACCCTGGATAATATAAATTAACATCTGAAATGAATTATTATACAGTTAAAGACACAATGTTTTTGTCTATAGTACATTGCAGCAAAAAGAACATTTCTCATTTGTGAAACTTCTGACATCATGTCATTACAACCCTGTATTGTTTTCTTTTTTACCCTATATTATTTTCTGTTTCATACTTCCAAACTGGATGATGAAAGGTTAAGGAAAGGTATACTCTCCCAGATCACCCTTGGATGGACAACCTTGTACCTTATCCACCCCAAAAGGTGCATATTAGTACACTAAAGTTGTAATATAGTAATATGCACCCTTAAGGTACTACTATGAACCATTTAAGGGTAGATACGGTACAAAATAGTCAATGCGGTACCTCTTAAGGTAAAAGTTTTTTGCATCTTTTTTTTCCTCAGTTAAAAAAAAACACTATAAAGGAAGCTCATATCACTTGCTATATTACAAGTCTTCGGAGCCATACAATAGCTTTGTGTGAGGAACAGATTAAAATGAAGGTTGTCATTCACTTATAATGTCCCCATCCACTGGTGTTCTCAAAGCTCAATCATTCTTGTGTCTAATTAAATAGTAGTAAACTACCTTTAAATGTGTTGCACCAGGTTTAATGTCATTGATGCCATTGATTCTTGAATGTCATGTGAACGATTATGACATGGCAAGTTTGAAAAATGTGATGCGAGTAAATAACTTAATTTTTCAGTTGCTTCTCACAAAGCTCTTGTATCTCTTCACAAAACCTGAAATAAATAATCCACTTTTAGTCTTTTTGGTGCTTGGCAGTATTCCAGAATTCCCATTCACTATCCTAAGCACATACACTCAGCAAATATCTTCTCCTTTTTGTGCTCTAAGAACAGCATGATGGTAAGTAAATGATGACAGACTTTCCTTTTTGGGGGAACTACACTTTTAAAGCATTAAATTCGATCTTCTATCCTCCATGCGCCTTCAACCCAATGAAGCCTAAAAAGGACTATGAAGATGTTGACCTTTTTGAAGTAGAACAGTAGAAACAGTTTCCCAATTTGAACTGCAGGCAACAGTGGTGAAAACAGCACACCAAACCTACGAAGAGAAAACGGAAAATACTGTTAGTGACAAGCTGTTAGAACACAATGTAATGTGTCTTCATGTGGAGAAGATGACAGTACCACACAAGTGTTTGACCGTAGATGAGCTCCAGAACATCTCGTGCGATGTCAAACTCTAGTTTCCTTCTTCTGAATGTGATGTTTCTAATACACAGCCTGAAGGGGCAGAACGAGTCAACACATCCCTCCTAAACATCACTGCTATCAAATGGAAATGTGAGAACTTACCCCCACAGAAACTCTGCCAAGACGATGTACGACATCGCAAATAGCAGATCCATTAAAACCAAACGGTAAAGCTCTTGACCAATCAATGTCTCCCAGCACTGCAAGTAAGCACAAATGAAAACAAGCCTGCCTCATTTCATATTCAACTCATAAACTCATATAGACTATATTTCTTTTTAGAGGAGTATTTTTTAATTATTTGTAATTAAGTTCTTATATTCTCATACAACCAATCAACAACCTGTAAGGACTGGGTGCTTAATATTGTTTTGTTATTATTGTGTCAATGTAATAACATACCGTCTATGCATTTTTTCATAAAAAAGGTCAGGTTTCATGTTTTTGGTCACCTGCTGTGTATTTTGTCCATTCTTCCCGCCAGAAATTTTCTCGAGCCAGTAGTAACACAATACACTAAAAATGCAACCCTTCAACAACAGGTTCCTGTGAAAGAAGAAACTGAAATGTCTTTGATGAGCACTCAGTGACTTGGAAATTTGATTCTATTGATAACAGACAGTCTTATGTTACAACAAACTTAACTGGAAATGCATGGGTATTTCTAAACTAAAACTAGGAAATGCACAGATATGTTATTTGTTATTAGTGATATACTGTATATTTAAATGGAAAACAATAATTTTTTAGAAATCTAATTTCAAATGCATGCGAAAAGAATCTTTTACATGTAATCTCTGTATTCATGCTCTTAAATTATCAATTTGAATAACTTTTTGGTCACACTTTATTTTAAGATCCAATTCTCGCTATTAACAAACCATTGCCACAATAAACTCCTAATTTGGTGCTTATTAATAGTTAGTAAGGCAGCTGTTAAATTCAGACATTGGGTAGGATTAGGGATGTAGAATATGGTCATGCAGAATATGTGCTTTATAAGTACTAATAAACTGCCAATATGTTAATAATAGGCATGCTAATAAGCAAACAGTTAATAGTGAGAATTTGTCCCTATAAAGTAACAAACTTTCTTACAGATATCATAAATATGGGGTTTGAAGGGTTATTTGAAATGTGAGAATCTCATCATCTTGATATGTCATAAAAAAGTCAAATGATCAGATACTCTACTTACTGACCTTGATACACAGTCATGAGAGTGTATATAACTCATACAGTGGGTACGGAAAGTATTCAGACCCCCTTAAATTTTTATATTTAAAGCATCAATTCAAAGGCAATCAAATGAAGCATGTTAAAGTTGCTTCCTGCTGCACTGAAAGGAAACAGAGCTTAGCTCACAGCAGAATTAGACAGGAAGTGAATAAATAAGTGAAAAGATGAGAAGAAAAATAAATAAATTGATAGCTTCCCTGACCTTACAATGGACACATAAATCGGAGTGCTTGTGGAGTCGTAATGCTCCACCCTGGATAACATGTCGAAGAAACCAGGCAGTAGATGACTGATGCAAGACATGACCAAAGGCAGTTTCAGCAAATCAACAGCTTTCTGAACAGAGTTCACCAACATATATAAAGACATAAACACACAATATATCAAATAATGTATTGTGACTGTGTGAAAGGGGCTAATGTCTCCAAGATGCTTCAAGAAACCTACCGGCAAAGCTACAGTACTGTTAAAACCTGCTGTAAAATGAGGATGCTGTCAAAAATAATGTCATAAATAGATTTTCTTTATCAATTAACTGGCTTTTAAAATACTCGTAGATTTGTTCCGGCAATTTACCAGTATGAGAAGCTGTAACATTACCAGTAAATTGCCAGAAATTATGCTGTGTGTGAACGCAGAATGAAGATTACCGATATGAGCGCATATGAGTTCAGAATGCGCTGACATAACTTTAACGGCTCTGGGCCAATCATAACATTCTGACGCAGATGACGCATTTACTCTGCGCTGTGTAGTTTGATCAAAGTCCCTTTAAGGCAAGTCATATAAAGTCGTTCTGGTAATTTTACGGCAATTTACTGGTATGACTGTGTGAAAGGGGCTAATGTCTCCAAGATGCTTCAAGAAACCTACCGGCAAAGCTACAGTACTGTTAAAAGCTGCTGTAAAATGAGGATGCTGTCAAAAATAATGTCATAAATAGATTTTCTTTATCAATTAACTGGTAAAATTAACCATTTACCAATTTACAATAAATTTGATTAACTAATGTGCATTCTCACTGGGTTGGGTTTTCTAATGGCGCTTTTACACTGCATGGTACGTCACGGTACGGCTCACTTTTGGGGGGTTTTCCACTGGGTACAGTACCTGGTACCTGGTACTTTTTTTAGTACCACCTTGGTTGAGGTTCCAAGTGAACCGCACCGTTACCAAAACGTGTCGTGTAAACTCTGCTGATCACTGATTGGCCGGAGAGAATCGTCACTACACTGCGCGTCACTGAACTTGCGACACAAACACAAAAGAACCGCTAGATTTAAATCAGCACAGCCAGCGAAGGATCGAACTCAACTGTTTTGAACAAGCGCGCCTTTTTTAACAACCAAAAAGTGGCTGTTTCGTTGTCTGTTCGAGCCGAGTCGGTACACCTTTGTAACTTATTTACTTCTTCCTGTGTAACTAAGTACAGTATCCTACTATATCACTAGTAAGTTGTGGAGATGCAAGTTATGTAATCAGATTACTTTTTCAAGTAACTAGTAAATGAATGCATTACTTTTTATTTTACAGGAAAATATCTTGAGTTACTTTTTTCAAATAAGTATTGCCAGTTACTGTTTTCCCATTTATTGACTGACAGCTCTCCTATCTTGTTGAGAGAAATCAGGAGTAAATTTGCACAAAAATAGATTTAGTATTCCTCAAAATGAATAAAAACCGTGAAATGCAATATGATGTATCAGAATATGACAAATGTATCATAATAACACAAATATCCTTTATGTATTTAATCCAATTTTATTAACCAATATCTTTGCTGCTGATGTTCGGTGATCCAATTCAACCACACTAGCAAAAATGACTTTAGGTAAACATAACATTTGTTTTGTGTTGGTTGTGTGTTTTTTTTTATTATTATTGCTAAAGAGTGTTGAACTTTCTTCTTCTGCGTCCTATTCTTTATGCAATCCAGAATGGAAGCACAACTGAAAGGCTTGATTGAGCTGCTCTGTATACTTTTTCTATTAATTTCACTTTTGGTGTGAAAGGGCTTTTTACATTTGCCAAAAATATAACTTTTTTATATTAAAAACAAACAAGCAAGTAAGCCCCGCCCAGATTTAAAAAAGTAACACAAAAGTAACATAATGCATTACTTTCCCTAAAGAGTAGCAATCAGTTACCTTTGAAAATAAAGCTGTTTGCATTGTAACGAGGCAGCAAAAATAACTGGTGTGTGAACTGAACAGGATGTGACTGGTATTTTCTATCATGAACTGTGTGCTTTCTTAAGTGTTAAGCATCCTGTTGCCTTCCTGTTGTCTATTCAACACTATGACCAGACCCTTACCTTGGAACTGCCCTGGTCAATGTAAAGGTGTAAGTAGAAAACAGGCAGCATGCAGGCAGCTATGCAAAGCAGGCAAATGGACCATACAAGAAAGTGTAGACTCAACCAGCCAAAAGTTGAATACAAGTTCCTCTTCTGTTTTTTGCAGCTGAGCTCAGACACCATCTCCTAAAACAAAAATTGAATCACTCAAATCTAAGCTTCTTTGTAAAAGTCAACAAAATATACATGCAATGTTACGTGTTAAGTGTCATTTCTGCTCCACTAGTGTCACCAAACACAATTGTCACTTATGCAGTGGGTTTGGAGCAAGTATTTTAACATTCAAATACTATTCCATCATTAATGAATAGACAGGAACAAATGAGTAATGCAATATTAACATTCTAACAGCTATGAACTGACAAGAAACAAGGTTTTGGATAGTAATTCCTTCTGATGGATTTGGTAACACTTGAGTCATTATTTGCGACCATGAAATTGGCTTTAGAATACTGTTCTAAATAGCTATGTATTCCTTAAGAAAGATGTAGTACTATGATACTTACAAAACCTAATCATAATGTACAGAATCTTCTCACTATTCATAATGGTTAGGAGAGATATACAAAAGAAATCTGTGGTAGGAGACACATAGAACCATACATTTCTGTGAGGTACATCCAAATAAATAAATCACTAAAGTTACAATGTTTTGGCATTTGGGGTTTGGCTCACGACTCGAAATGTTACAGTCTATGTGATGCTCTCGTGATTCAGTGAGAAGTGTGGACTTAAGCTGACAACTCTTCATTTAAGTAGTGACTATGTGTAAAAATTAAAAGAATACAAATAAGAGTATCAGAGCAATGCCAGAAAAACTGACAACAGGATTAGTACTGAAAACAGAATTTAAAAAGCCATTTTCTTAAAATTTTCAATAGTCAGTAAACAGCTCTGTAAAAGGAAGGATAAAATGTACTAATTAACAACTTAAAGTAATCATAAGTCTGCTGTTGATTATGTAAGTGATGATAAATAAATGTTAATGTAGCCTAGTGGTTAAAATGTAAATTTGTTCTGCGGTATTTAGTTATTGATTAGATGAAAATATACATACATACACACACACACACACACACACACACACACACACACACACACACATATATATATATATATATATATATATATATATATTAGTGCTGTCAAATGATTAATCGCGATTAATCACATCCAAAATAAAAGTTTTTGTTTGCATAATATATGTGTGTGTTCTGTGTATATTTATTATGTATATATAAATACACATACATACAGTATATATTTTGAAAACATTTACATGTATTAGCATGTCTATATTTATATTCATATAATTTATATTATAAATAAATATATTTAATATCTAAAAAAATTTCTGAAATATATACATGCATGCGTGTTGTTTGACAGCACTAATATATATAGATCGTTTGACAGCACTAATATATATATATATAGTTTCTTAGTAGCTCTCTGGAATAAAAAAATACTAGTTAAAAAAAAAATTGTGAGCTAACAGAGAACTACCGCAATCAGTTATGTGCTTTAATTCATTAATCAGCATTTCTTGTCGAAATTGGTAACTACAATGTTAATATTGTGTACCCCATTTGTTCCTAGTTATTAACTACAGAACAGTATTCTAAAGTGTTTGCAAATGACACATATCATTAAAACCAGCATAAGATTGTTGTTGGTTTTTAAAACACTCAGGTTGGTTTTCTGGGTGGTTAAAGTGGTTGACCAGCCTGTGTTTACTGAATGACTAACTTGCAGTTTAAAACTCCTTATACGAGTGTGTGCATGTATAGCTTATTCAATTTAGACAGTTTGCTAGAATTGCGAGACGCTGGCGGAGTGAACAATACTTGAGAGAGTTTTGAGAGAGGGCACAGGCACAGCCTCCGTCGTGTTGCCAGATCCAGCTATTATAAGCTTCTTTGGCCTTGTCTTTTTTGACACTTTAGAAAGTTAATAAAGTGGAAGTTGCAACCTAGGGTTAGCAATATCTTTATCTTTTTTATTCATATCACTATGTTGACCTTAACCAGAACATTTTATTTGACTTTACTGTGCAAACATCTATTTAAATATACCAACATGCTTGTGCATGGCATTTTTTTATATTTTTACATAAATTTGTTTTAACATGAAGAGTCATAATGACACAAACCTTCAGCTGAATGCAGATGTTCACCGACTGCAGCTTAACAGACCGTTTCTTGCTGACTTTAAAATCCCAAGAGCAGAAAACCTTTAAAGCTAGGTTACTGGTAGTCTTGAATATGCAGAAACTCTTTCCGGATGATTTAGATATACTGAAAGGATGAACAAAACCTCACTTAATCACAGAGCAAGCTAATGATGTGAAATTGAATTAACACAATGCATAAGGAAAACAGACAAACCTGTAAACAAGAAGTACACATGTGATAAACATGCCTGCTCCAATAGTAAAAATATACGCCAGTGGCATGTTGTAATTTTCTGGACAGAGTTTTATTTCTGCTTTGCATTTTTCATTGGTGGAGTTGGCATAGTGGCCATAAAACATCACAGAGTCTGTGAGAATGCCCTGTTGAGGAACAAAAAAACCATAGCATTCAGAGTCCAAGTAATAAAAATGTAGGCCATCTTAAATTTCCAGGGACTGGAAACCCTAATATAAAGCACCAACTTTTTAAAATATACATATATATTACCATGCCAGTAAGCATCCAGAGGTCAGCTGTGGCTGCGGGTTTGTTTTTTGATGATGGAGGATTCGAGATTTGTGGCAGGACCAGGAAAAGGCCGGTGATGAGGAAGAGGATGATGTTGTAATGTAACAGTCTTCTGAGGAAGATGAAATAGGACAGAATCCCAGTGCCGAAGTGAGCACTGATGTTTTTAAGCACTCCCTGCCAGAGCTGTATGGATTTCTGCTGGGAGACTCTACAGTAGCAGCCACCACACAAAACCTATGCAGCAAAAACAAGTGTGCATACAGGTTAATGAATCAAGAACTGTTGATTTCAGTATTAAACTCTACTCGGAAAATCTGAAAATATCAAAAAAATGCCACATTCAATGGTTATTTGTATGAATAGGGTACAAATTGGTGTCCCCCTACTTTGTTAAAGCGATGAAGGAATAAAATCAGCATTGAGAGAAAACTGAAAAATTATTGTAGATAAAACCCATTGATCTGATATTTAATTAATTGCAAAAAAAAATATTTTGAAAAATTAACATTACCATTTGCCATTACCACCAATTACAATTTTGAAAAAACTGACCATTCAATAAAAATTATATAAAGACTTTTTTCTGCCGTGTGGTGGGAAGAAGAAGATGGTTGAGGAGAGGCCCCCCCCCCCACATGATTGTAAAGCACTTTAGGTGTACAACAATACACAATAAAGCGCTATATAAATCGTCTTGGTGGATCGGGAGAGCGCAGTCGACTGATTAAATCCTGAGAAAAGGCAAAGCAAAAAAGGATCATAAATTGACATTGTGCACTAGAAACTGGAGTTAATAAATACGTTGTTAGTGGAGAAGTCTCTGCTCTTCTGTATCTCAATGTGCAATTGCTATATTACAACTAACTAACTACAAGTACCGTAAAATATAATGTGTAATTGGAATTGCATTTGGAAAGAAAAAATATTTGGTGTGTGGTCAGGTTTCAGAAATTTTGTGTGTAAGCAGTTGAAAACAAAAATGACTAAAAGAAATCGGTTCAGAGGACATTTCTAGAACTTAATTGTACTTATGTTAGACTACTCTTGTAAAAAAAAATAACTGTGCATAATTGTATTGAATGTGCACTTGTAGTGTACTTCAAATCCTAAAAGTATATATATTTAAAAAAAAAAGAAAAAGATTACTTGCATATTTTATAATATTGTGTAATTAAAAATGTATTTAAAGTTACAAAATTGAGTAGAAATGACATTAAATAATATTTTAATTGACCATAAATGCTTTTCAGTACATTCAGCAGTACACTTTCTCCATATTTCAAAGACAGAATTATACACAACAGACATAATAATTATAAAATTACATAAAGATGTACTTAGGTCCTACTCAAAGGACATCAAGTCCTACTTAAGTGGGTCAAAAAGTAATTTTTAGTTTAACTAAATGCATTTAAAATATACATTTTCATATAATTGTAAATAACTTGCAACTAAGCGTCCAAAAACATTACATTCAGGTCACACTTATGTGTTAATACACTTATTACTTCCGAAATCAGCACTCTTTTTAAAAGTATGCTCTTTTTCATGAGGGTTTGTTTGCATATACTATTATTTTGTTGTCTGATGCAATAAAATTCATATATTACAGCCACAAGAGCATATTTTAGTGAAACAGCTATGATTTTATTAATTATGCAAATATGAAAAAAACTGCATCAAAACATTTTCTTACTGATAGAGCGGCTAGGCATGGAGGACAGGACCTTCTGGGTCGAAGAAGACCAGCTATTCCTGTTCAGGGCATCCGTGTGTTTGGGCTCATGGTAATGCTGAGCTTCTTGATTTGAATGTGTCAGATCAACTACAAACAGAAAAACAGAGTTAAAATAAGTGGGGTTTACGTCAGGCTGTCTGTATGCTGTGTAGTACTCACATTTCACTGCTCTGTATGGTCTCCTAATAGCCTCGAGCTCAATCAGGTCTTGGTCTTCATCTTCACTGGAAGTCATCTCCATGATCTGGGATGCAGCCATCCAGACTGTCTAGAGCTGTGTAAGCAATAGGTGATAAGCCATATCAGAAATTAATTTTCATATTAAAAGCCAATATTTGCCTGGGATTTATTTTTTCAGAGCACTTTTATACTGTAAAAAATGACCGTGAATTTAACGGTAAAAGACTGTAAAAATGCTACAGTAAAAACCTGTCAAATGGTTAACGGTAAATTCCCCTACTATAAACGGTGAAAAACTGTATTGGACATTACATGTATTGGACCATATAGACCGTATAATTTACAGTGAATAACCGTAAATTGACATTCCCAGAATTCCCTGCGTTACATTTCAAATTTGATGTTTTTTTGTTTAAATAACTATGTTTCTTCTTAGTTTTTTCTTCTTAGTTTTGTATATTAGGGTTGTGTGTTACACCTAATGTTGTTAAACGAATGTTTATTGCATTATTTCAGTTTCATGTGTGTTACCATGATGGTGTTTAGTTTTTGTGTGTATTACACTGTGCACCTTCTATATATGTTATTATTTAAAAGCTGCTTGTGATGGGCTTTGGTTCATCATGTGACTTTCTCATCACCACCTGCATTTGGTGGTTAGTGTATTATAAAGGTACAAACCAGATTTCAGTACTTCAATAGGTTAGGTTGGTATATTAACATTATATCAGTTAATGAAATAACGGTATTTAACTGTAAATTTAAGTTAAAACCTAAAACGTTGCTACCATATTTTTTACGGTAAAATTACGGCAACCACAGCTGCCAGTTTTTTTACCGTAAATTTTACTGAATTTTTTTTACAGTGATATAAACCCCATAAATCTACAACAGAAACAAAAAGTGTCTTTCATTTATGTCAAAAGCAACATCATAAGATGCCATAGCATAATAAACATTCTCTAAAAATATATTTTAAATAACTGTCCATTCCTTACATTAAACTACTCTTGTAAAAAAGAAGTGCACTTAATTGTAGTCCATTCTTAAAAGTATATATATATATATATAAAAAAAAAACCTACTTACAGATACTATAATATTAATGCAATAAAATTGTGCTTTAAGACCACTCTGTAATAATGTCAAATTATACGTTTTACTTTAAAACACATTTGAAATCACTGTTTTAGGAATATTTTGTCATGCTTTAAAGAAGTCCACTTATTATGAAAAGTACTTGATTATAATGTAACTGTAGTGTTTTATTTAATGTTAAAATTTGACGCTAAATAAGTTAATCATTACAAATGGCATTAAAGAAATGCGTGAATGCCTTTGTATATTCAATTACCTGCCTTTAATATAAATTTCAACTATAATACATTTTCATTTAATTGAAGTTAACATGCGAAAAAAAATTGTCTGCAAACATTACATTCAGTTCAAGATTAAGTATATTCGTTTAAAGTATATTATTTTCATAGTATGTACTTTTATAAAGCATGCTAAAGTATACTATCGCAGTAGATCTAATTGTAGTTTTTCTATCAACCCACTTTAGCTGTTCATTCAATAACATTCATCTTAAGACTGTTAGCTGTTCTGATAAAGTACCACCAATTGCAATACTCACCTAAACAGCTGTTGCTACGCAAAGATTCCAGCACAGTCTAAAAAGGAAGATACACTGTTCAAAGTTTTCATACGCGTATAAAAAGTGACTGGTACTTCAACAGTACCCATTCAGTGAATAAGCAGAAACATTTTCACAGTTGACAGACTGCATACAAAGTGACAAACCACAGGCAACGTGCAGAGAGGAAGACAAGAACGAACTGACGTCTTACAATTTTTATTTATTTATTACTATTATCACAAACAACACTGTGTATAGGGAGACAGGTATTTTACATTACAGTGTGGTATGTGAAATTGTAAACAGAGGCCATACCATGGTAGAGACTGCTTACCGTAACTCAGCCTTCATCTGAAAATGTCATCTATAACAGACTCAGTCATACGTTACAGACCTCATGGCCGTGTCTTATTTTCACCACACCTTTTGACAACACATTAGATAGTTATAAACAGTATGGACTTGAGTTTGGTAATGTACTGTAAATGTATTTTATAATGGCAACTGTAGCTTCCATTACTATAACATCTGCAATAAGTGAAGTGACATGTGGCCAAGTATGGTAACCCATACTCGGAATTAGTGCTCTGCATTTACTCATCCAAAGTGCACACACACAGCTGTGAACACACACAAACAGTGAACACACACCCGGAGCAGTGGGCAGCCATTTATGCTGCGGCCCCCGGGGAGCAGTTGGGGGTTCGGTGCCTTGCTCAAGGGCACCTTGTCATGGTATTGAAGGTGGGAGAGAGCGCTGTACATTCACTCCCCCCGTTTTGCTGGTTTATGCTGGCCCTTTGCTGGTTTGAGCTGGTTTATGTTGGTCCTTTGCTGGTTTATGTTGGTCCTTTTGGTGGTTTATGCTGGTTTAAGCTGGTTTATGCTGGTCCTTTGCTTTTTTATGTTGGTCCTTTTGCTGGTTTATGCTGGTCTTTTGCCAGCACATGACCAGCATAAACCAGCAAAAGGCCCAACATAAACCAGCAAAGGACCAGCATAAACCAGCTTAAACCAGCATAAACCAGCAAAAGGACCAGCATAAACCAGCAAAGGACCAGCTTAAACCAGCAAAGGACCAGCATAAACCAGCAAAGGACCATCTTAAACCAGCATCCCAGCGTCAAAACATACCTAACCATCATATGCTGGTTTTTTTTCAACAGGGCGGAGCTATGAAAATGATTCATATTTAGGTGAGCATTTAAATTAAAAGTAGATTAATAGCGCCACCTAGAGGACTATATTCATCGGTACTTACGCAGTTCACAAAGAATCATTCAAAGCACAACATAAATAAAGTATTTCGGTGTTTCAAGTGTGTCCTACAGATTGAGGCCACGTGGTCAGCTTCTGCAGTCAGAGCTGTGTAAACTCAAGGGCAAACCCTTGTGTGCAAAGTGATGAAACATCAGGACTACACCAGAACAAACAGCACAACACTGGAAACGTCTTTACACTCATACATATTTAAGCATGTCCATATGTCAAATGGCAGCTGATTACTGAAGCCTGCAGGATTGCTGGAGCACTTGATCAACAGAATGACAGCCTATATTTAAGTATTAAAGTGATGATAGATAGATAGATAGATAGATAGATAGATAGATAGATAGATAGATAGATAGATAGATAGATAAACAGGGGCGGTTCAAATATTATAATGTGGCAATACTCGTTCTGACGTGACGTGTACTTCCTGGAAGGGTGGTGCGGTACTTTCAGGAAACAATTGTTAAAGTAAACAGCGAGCGTATTATCAAGCTGGACAACTTGCCGAAGCGCTGACAAGTAAAGAGGGGCCAGAGTGTCACGAACGCGGACATGGAGACGAGTGCTTACGGTGCATCGCTGGCCGGTGGAGCCTTTGACTTCTGGAGCTTTCTAAAGCGACCGCAGACTATCGCCCGGCTGTTCAGTTGGGTGAGCTAGAACAAAGTCATCGTTAGCTAATCGAGCTAGTGCTCCTACTCGGTGAAAGTTTGTGATACTGCCGCTGGCCTCAAACTGTTAGTTTAACAGAAGTTACGCGCAAATCTAAATTCGGCTGTCACGAGTTGCAAAACACAGACCATATGGCAGCAGCAGCAGCAGCAGTTTGAGAGTTTGTTGTTGTTGTTGAGGTCTGCATCATGTGACTTGTCAACATGTCAACATAGCACATGCAGCTCTTTTATGCAGCTAGTTTGAGTGGTTTTCTTTCTTTCTTTTCTGAACCATTTACAACAACAGTATTCATCACCTGTTACATATTACACTGGCCACTCTTGTTACTCGGTGAAAGTTTGTGATACTGCCGCTGGCCTCAAACTGTTAGTTTAACAGAAGTTACGCGCAAATCTAAATTCGGCTGTCACGAGTTGCAAAACACAGACCATATGGCAGCAGCAGCAGCAGTTTGAGAGTTTGTTGTTGTTGTTGAGGTCTGCATCATGTGACTTGTCAACATGTCAACATAGCACATGCAGCTCTTTTATGCAGCTAGTTTGAGTGGTTTTCTTTCTTTCTTTTCTGAACCATTTACAACAACAGTATTCATCACCTGTTACATATTACACTGGCCACTCTTGTTTTATTTCATCTACTGCAAAGAAATGTTTTTAAGAAAGAGAATGTAAGCACCAGTGTTGGGGAAAGTTACTTTTAAAAGTAATGCGTTACAATATTGCGTTACTCCCTAAAAATAGTAACTAATTACGTTACTTGGTTACTTGTTATGGAATGTAATGCGTTACGTTACTTTTGCGTTACTTTCGCGTTACTTTTTAAATATAAGCAGGGCTTGATTGTTTTTAATATAAGAAGTTCTATTTATTGCAAATATAAAAGCCCTTTCACACCAAAAAGTGTAATGAATAAACCTCAGGCTGAAGCAAACGTAAATTCACGTCTGTACAGTAGAACGCAGGAGAAGAAACACTCTTCAGCAATAAAAAAACAATGAAGCACAATTGTTAGTTTCTCTAAAGTCATTTTTGGTTATTAGTACGGTTGAACTGGATCATCAAAGGTCAGCAGCAAAGACATCGGTTAATAAAATGGGATTAGATACATTTGATGTTATTTAACATATTTAATTATTGCAGGTTTGTGTCATATTCTTTTTCAGTTTGCATTTCACTGTTTTAATTCATTTTGATGAATAGCAAATCTGTTTTTTGTGAGTGGGATGAATTAATGCACATTCGCATTTAGTCTAGAACTACATCGTGTTCACACAACGCCTCTGTACTTACGATTTCTCCCAATATGGGGACAGGAGACTTGTCAGTCAATAAATGGGAATACAAAGTAACTGGCGTTACTTTTTTGAAAAAGTAACTCAGATATTTTCTTGCAAATTAAAAAAGTAATGCGTTACTTTACTAGTTACTCGAAAAAAGTAATCCGATTGCGTTAATCGCGTTACTTGTAATGCGTTACCCCCAACACTGGTAAGCACACATTTTAAGCTACAAAAAATAGTGCATTTTAAATGTTAAATCTTTTGACAGAGCATTTTTAAGCAGATATAGGGACCTAAATGCCCGTATCACTGACCTAATTCTTCTTTTGCTGTGTAAATATATAGTCGTATATAGTTTTTTGTTTGTTTGTCGGTTTTTTTGATAACCAAAGTAGACATACATCTTGTGAGAGCGTCACGCCTCCCATTCAAACATGACACTGTTGTTCTCTGTAAACACTCTCAGTAGTAGTTTCCTTGGTGTGGGAAATTTCCATTATTAAAGAGATTCTGCTGTTGTCACTAATTCTGTTTCTTTCCATCACAGCTCTTCGCCATAGTGGTGTTTGCCACCATAGTTTCTGAAGGCTACATGAATGAGCAGCATGAAGACATCACTAAATGCATGTTCAATCAGAATGAAAGTGCGTGCAGCTATGGAATTGGTGTTGGGGTTTTAGCTTTCCTGGCCTGTGCTGTCTTCATTGTGCTGGATGCCTACTTCCCCCAGATCAGCAATGCCAACGAGAGAAAATACATTGTGTTGGGCGATCTTTGTTTCTCTGGTAAGAATTATTACAGATTTTAGTTTTTATCAGTCACTTTTAGTTTAATTGCAGAATGCATTTATTTATAGGACAGTGTCTAAAAACCACATATTTGCTTGGATCTAAAACCTAGCCCTGTTGAAAAAAACCAGCATATGCTGGTTAGGTATGTTTTGACGCTGGGATGCTGGTTTAAGCGGGTCCTTTGCTGGTTTAAGCTGGTCCTTTGCTGGTTTAAGCTGGTACTTTTGCTGGTTTATGCTGGTCATGTGCTGGCAAATCATACCTAACCAGCATATGCTGGTTTTTTCAACAGGGAGTGAGCATTGAAAGCTCAGTTCACACTGCCAGCGAATGCAACAACAAAGCGACCTAAATTTACGTTCATTGAGAGCTGGCATCCATGACTTTTGCCAACTATATGTGGACATCTCCAGAGACACGTCAAAAGTTGTGAGAAGTATTCTAACATCTCACAGTAAAGTGAGTAGAGCTCAAGTAATCAGAGTGCAAGTTCTAATTGGCACAGTTGTGGCGTTTATAACTGTCCTTAGGGCAACCAGATTTAAAAAGGTCTACTAGCAACCAGGCGGTTCAAAGGCTAAAATGTTGGCATCACGTTTGTCATGGAACTTCACAACTGGGTGATGTGGAACAGTATCTATATAGGAAATAAAAAGTTGCAGTCAATTCCAGCTGAGTTTCCATGATGTTAGCATGTTGCTAAGCTAACAACATGATACTCTCGGAGCATACCTATGCTCCCAGGGTCCCATGTTCTCCAGATATATATGGCACATAATGCACATTAAAAAAGGGTAATATGTTCCCCAGTGCAATGGCCTGGTAACATACATTAAGTAAACTTTTTTTAAGTACAATTTAATACAAGTTCAACTGAACAACACGGATAGAGACCCCTCTATAAATGCTGGCTTATATATTAAACCCGTATGATAATTAGAACATACTTTATAACCTGGTGGACATGTATCATGTATTCCTCATGTGCCATATAAATCTGGGGAACATAGGAATGACCCCGATGCTCCAATGAGCATTAAAATACACCGTACACACAACTATTGGATTTTTTTGAAACCAGAATAAATAGTGTCTCAATGACAACAAGTGTTCTTATTTTTTTTAATCAATATTTTTCAGTATTTAATGAAATACAAGTATATTTATGATTATCTGACTGGCTAACTTTTTTTTAGTTTTTTTTAATGGAGCTCATTTCCTTCTCTATGAAGGATACATGCAGTGATGTCTTAGTGGACAAAGCAAGATTGCCAGCTTCATGTCTGAAGCACACTTATGATGACTTAAATGCTCATTATGGTTTGAAACAGAGCCATACTTTCTGTTATTCATGTGCTCTTACTCATAAAGGGTTAGTTCACCAAAAAATTTAAATTCTGTCATTATTTACCCACTTTTATGTGGTGAGAGGTATCCATCCATTGAAAGTTTGCACAACCAAAATTTCGCAGATCCAAAAAGGTCATACGGGCATCTTAAAGCAAATCTGCGGTTTGATCACTTTATATGATGAAAAGATTCAAATGAAGGGGTTTATTTAACTTTTTATGATCAACACGTGCATAGAGCGCATCAAATTTGGTATCGCATGTGCATTCATCACACATTAGAACAAGCGATTTATATGGATTAGTTTGTCTTTATGAACTTTGTGAAGCGCCAAAGTTTTGGTTGCATGTAATTTCAGTGAAAGGACAGAAACTTCTCGACAGAAAACAGGATTCATTAAAAAATATCTTGAGTTGTGTTTTTGAAGATGAACGAGTCGTTTGGGGTTGAGTAAATGATGACCGAATTTTCACTTTTGGGTGAACAAACCCCTTAACGTTCCTCTCTGCTTTCTCATCAGGTGTGTGGACGTTCCTGTGGTTTGTGTGTTTCTGCCTTCTAGCCAATCAGTGGTCTCACACTACTCAATCAGCTGTCCTAGCTGATGCAGCTCGAGCTGTGGTGACCTTTTCCTTCTTCTCCACTGCCACCTGGGTGAGCACATCTCACTTCCTGTTTCTGCCTGACGGTCACCTTGTATATTTGATAAACTGAAACAAATATCACGCTTTTTTTTCTCTCAAGGCCCTTCTTACCATGTTCGCATTACAACGATACCGCCAAGGGGTGGACGAGGTTGGCCTAGGCTACAATGATCCATCCAGTGACCACACTTCCCCGTACCCTTCAGCATATACTGGTGCTCCAGAGGGTTACCAGCATTCCCCATTCACCGCCAGTCCTGCGGGACAGGGAGGGTATCAGCCTCCCGCATACTGAGGGTGAAGGCATTTTAACGCTTCTGAGAGGCTCATCTGTGTGGACTGTTTCATACGCTCCACTTTTTCCTTTTCCATAAGAGTTGAAATTGTCACCTGGGATTGGTGTGCTTCGCTGGTGTGTTTTTTCATGCTTGAAAAAAAAAAATTTATTTATTTTTTTATTTTCTTCTGATGCAAATTCTAAACATAACCCTAAGTGTAATTGAAGTAAGACATGTTTTTGGATCAACATCCAAAAATATAGACTAAACCCAATCCCTACCCGTAAACCTAACCCTATTTACTCCTAAAATCAGTGGGAAATGATAGCTGATTACCAAGTGTGTAGAAGCACCTAACCCTGATCGTAAGCCTAAAACAGATATTTCCTGAAAAGTTATGCCTCAATTCTGATTGGTTGATTGGAATGTTGTTCCAGGATCAACAAGGATGTTAATCCAGGAACATGTACTTGGTGAAATCACGGTCACCGGTGCTGATATACCTGGATTAATAGAATTTTACATTATAAGGTCTGTGTAATATTGTGAGTCGACTATGTACTGTGCTTAGTATTGGCCAGATAATATCTCAAGAGTCTGCAGGATATTGTGTAAATGTTATGAAAGTACAACGTATTGCATGGCTGTATAATTACAAAAAAAATTATGTAACAAGCATTTTTTTTATGCTAATATGCATATATCACAAACTGAAATTGCTCTAGATCAGTGGTTCCCAACCCTGGTCCTGGAGGCACCCCAACACTGCACATTTTGCGTGTATCCTTAATCAAACACACCTGATTCAGGTCATTAGTAGAGACTCCAAGATCTGAAATCGGTGTGTCAGAGAAAGGAGATATGCAAAATGTGCAGTGTTGGGGTGCCTCCAGGACCAGTGTTGGGAACCACTGCTCTAGATAACTATACTATATTTTATGTTTAGATCATTAGAACCAAGTGTTGGCTGGTTTGCAATGTTGCTGGCACTATTATAATAGCCATGCTCTCCATAAGTTATGGTTTTGGTCTATACTTTATTTTAATGAAAATTATAATAATAAGAACTCAGATAAACCGTATATTGCCATAGTCGTGTGTTTATTAGTCACGTAGAATCAATGAAAGCAGTTGAATCTTCTGTTTATTCAGCAGCAGAGATAGGCATTTTCTGGGTTTCTTCTGCGAGGCGTATTTGGAGTTTCAGCGCGAGAGCGCCCTCTGGCCTTTGGATGGAGATTTACTGCTGATCACAGAACCGTGCTTCACTGAAAGATACGCATGACAATCACAGCTTCTGTCGAATCGTGATCTCGATTTCATTTCGATTTATCGTGCTGCCCTACTTTACACATTTAGCCTAGTCTTTTAAAGCACAGAATCTTTACTACTCTAATTATGTGTATTTGTACATCAGAGTAATATGTTTTATTTTATTTTGAGTAAAATGGGAACGTGAATATTGTACCGTTTTTTTTTTTTTTTTTATGGAACAAAGGTTTTCCCTCAAATTAATTTACAAAAGGGCAACTGATGTTTTGCAAAACAGCGAAAGTCTAATGTGATTAGGGATATGCCGGTATCAAATTTTCATGTTGCGATTAATTGCTCATGCTTTTATCACGGTATGCGGTATTATCACGATATTGAAATTTAGTTTTAAAAAAGTGCTGTCACAATACAGTATAACAGTTTTAGTAACTTTTTTCTTATAACTGAACATTTAAATGAATACATTTTATACAGAAAAATTTAGAAGTAAAAAAATTTAAACGGATTAAAGTGCAAAAGAACTATAAAGACCAATTTGGAGTTTCAGCGCGAGAGCGCCCTCTGGCCTTTGGATGGAGATTTACTGCTGATCACAGAACCGTGCTTCACTGAAAGATACGCATGACAATCACAGCTTCTGTCGAATCGTGATCTCGATTTCATTTCGATTTATCGTGCTGCCCTACTTTACACATTTAGCCTAGTCTTTTTAAAGCACAGAATCTTTACTACTCTAATTATGTGTATTTGTACATCAGAGTAATATGTTTTATTTTATTTTGAGTAAAATGGGAACGTGAATATTGTACCGTTTTTTTTTTTTTTTTTTATGGAACAAAGGTTTTCCCTCAAATTAATTTACAAAAGGGCAACTGATGTTTTGCAAAACAGCGAAAGTCTAATGTGATTAGGGATATGCCGGTATCAAATTTTCATGTTGCGATTAATTGCTCATGCTTTTATCACGGTATGCGGTATTATCACGATATTGAAATTTAGTTTTAAAAAAGTGCTGTCACAATACAGTATAACAGTTTTAGTAACTTTTTTCTTATAACTGAACATTTAAATGAATACATTTTATACAGAAAAATTTAGAAGTAAAAAAATTTAAACGGATTAAAGTGCAAAAGAACTATAAAGACCATTAGGTATCACTTTACAATAAGACCTCATTAGTTAACCTTAGTTGATGCATTAACATTCACAATGCGCAATATCTACATTTGCTACAGAAGCTAATCTTTAAAAAAAAAATACAACTCTTAGTTCATGTTAGCTCTTTAAATAACACAGTTGCAACTTTTGATTTTAACAACGTGTTATTAAATATTGTAATTACCTAAGATTAATGTTAGAAGAATTTTTCAATGGCAGTTTGTTAACTGAATTAACTAATGTTAACTAATGAAGCCCTAATGTAAAGTGTGACTGAACAATAAAGATAAAAAATTTTTTCAAACAATATCTAGAGCATGTTGTAGTCCAGATTAAAACGTAAAAAAAGTCTGAAAATAAATAGCCTATTAAGTCTAAATATTTAAGTATTTGGCGCTGTGATGTACACAATAGCGAAATACAAAAATCTGAATGGCTGTTTAAATAATTTAAATATGTTTTAGAAAGTAGCGCAGCTATATTTATGGTGTTACAGCTGCATTTTCTGCAGGTTAGCACCATCTGCTGTCAGAGAGTGAAAGTGTACTTTCATTCAGAGCATCTCTCACATGTTCTGCCATGTACTTCTCGTCCGCGCTTGTTTACATCAGAGTGCGCACGCAGCATACAGCGGTGTTGTGCATTGTGACCAGCTGATGGGAAAAGTATTACTAAAATGCATTCAAAATTCTGTATAATTTGTAATAACTAATTGTTCTCGGTATTTTGAAGTGCCCACGATAACAATATCGTGCATATTCATTACCGTGATATATCGCATTACCAAATACCGGCACAAGTCTAAATGTGATGCATTAAAAGAAGAAAAAAAATTACTGAGCATAAATACAGTTTATACTCTTCCTGATTACACATTCACCATTAAGAGAAAATGTAGTGTGGAAATTCATATCACATCAATCAAAATGTAATCAAAGACCTTTAAAACCTCCTTGAAGTTGGCACCCCATAAAAAGAAATAATCACCAAAACTATGCCACTGGTTTGTGCTACGTTTGTGCTGATTTGTGGCGCAAAAACGAACGTTTGTGCTGGTTTGGTACTATTTTTTTTGACCGTGTGATGTCACTCTCCACTCCATGTTGCTCAAATCGCTCCAAACCAGCGCGGTTCGTTTGTGCCGTTAAAACAAACACTGTATCTATTTTCCTTCCTTAGATATAACCAAAATATTTTCGGGAGCTGTGACGTCACTCTCCACAGTTCGTCTAAATCGCACAAAACTGGTGTAATTCGTTTCTCGATTTACACCATGATTGAAATGTTGAAAAATGTTACACCGTTGAAATGATTGACAAACCAGCACAAATCGAGCACAAATGAACGGCACCGGTTTGGAGGGATTTGAACGGCATGGGGTGGAGAGTGACGTCCCTGCTCAGAATTGTTTTTGTTATTTCTATGAAGTGGAAATATATTTGACGTTCATTTCAACAGCACAAATCGAGCACAAATGAATGACACCAGTTTTGTGCGATTTAGACAAACTGGTGGAGAGTGACGTCACAGCTCCCGAAAATATTTTGGTTATATCTAAAGAAGGAAAATAGATACAGTGTTTGTTTTAACGGCACAAACGAACCGCGCTGGTTTGGAGCGATTTGAGCAACATAGGGTGGAGAGTGACGTCACACGGTCAAAAAAATAGTGTTTAATATCTCAAACACCAAACCAGCACAAACGTTCGTTTTTGCGGCACAAATCAGCACAAACCAATGGCATAGTTTTGGTGATTATTTCTTTTTATGGGGTGCCAACTTCAGGAGGTAACTTTAAAGCCATTTCCTCAGTTCCAGCGTTGATGTAGCTGCTGCATTTTGCCATAAATGAAGAGTACAGTGAAGTGGCAATGTTCAGTCATTTTCATTTGCCCTCTCTGCATTTGTAGATTTTTCCCATTTCAGTTGCCGTTGAAAATATTTAGATCAAAATTTTATCTAATAAAATAATTAGATCAAAAAGGAATTGTTGAAAATTTAAGATTGATGTGATAAAGCACCAATGGCACCAATAGTCAATTTCGCTCCTGCTGTAAACTAGAAGAACCTTCTGAGCATGATGGGATTGGATAAGTAGGTCTAGTTGTTGATGGTCCTTTAGTTTTATTCAGCATGAAGGTTATATTGTATGTAACTGAACACAGGATCTGCTGTAAATTGGTACATCCAATATGAAGCCTGACTAAGTGTTTAAGGGACGCCATGATGTTATACCGTTTAACAATTATCCATATAATTTACAGCCTTTCTTTTGTCCATGTAGATTCAGAGATGGTATTGTTTTAGGCTTTCAGCTGTGTTAAATATTAACATTTCAGAATAACAAAATTATTAACAAACTAAATTCCACTGGTATAGTCCCTTGGGGTATGCTATGGTTCAGTACTGAGTCTAAAAGTTGGAGTAATGAACATTACACTCTTGTAAACAGGGCTGCTGACAACAATGATTTAAATGTGAGAATTGTGCTAAACATTTTAAATGGGTTAACTTGTGTCACATCATAGCTGTAATATCTAGCCGTACCTGTTTTCACCCTGTGTGTCTTCCGTCCTTTCACAAAGCCACTCCTTACCTCCACGTCAACATTACTCATTTCCTACACAAAGTGTTTCTGTGGCATCCGTATATCCTGTCGTAGCTGGAGAAGCTGGTAAGTGTTTGGTGTCTTGGGTCTAACTAAATAGTCATGTCTTTTGTAGGACAAGAGTGTTCTAACACTTGCTTGTAATTGTTGTTAGTGATGAAAGCATCTAATTTGAAGTTTTTTTTAAAT